TGAAATATCTGGGTCCAACATATAGACTGCAAGTCTGCTTTCTATTCTTCTGCATTCAAATTTTTCGCATGTGAACTTAACTGGGTTCCAAGCATCTCCAGCAGCATTGAAATAATAGTTTACTTCAGTGTTGAGGTTTGAGAAACCAAAGTCTAAGTCAACTTTGTCTTTGCAAAATTCGGCGAATGACGTTTTATTTGTTCCCTTTACGTCTGTAAGAGAATGGGTCTTGTGTTGGTGCAATGACTAAGTTATTTTTGCTTGGAGTAAGTTCGATAGAAATTTTTCCTGCCAGTTTGGCAAGTATCTTAAAAACCTGAAGATGAGGAAAGATGACAAAGGAACTCTGAGTTTCAGTTTTACTTTAGTGGCAGCAGTTCCATCTGAACCAGAAAGGTTACATAAACTCCTGGAACGTTAGGGTCAAGTCTTCTTATTTTCTCAATAGTTGCATACTGGTCTGTTTGTTCTCTAGCTTGTGGTTGTACTGAGTTTCTCAAAGCGAACCATTCATAGTTTGCCCATGTTACTGTTTGAACTAAGTCAGAGTTAGAATATATCTTATATCCCATGAAAACTTCTGGAGCATATTGGTATCCGACATAGAAAATTCCATTGCAACCTTTCTTGTCAGACAACTTGGCAGAAGGTTTTATTTCAATGTCTTGTTCCACGTATAAGAATGAGTTGTCAATAGAAATAATATGAAACCTGTCGCAAGCATATCTACTGTTGTTGAAGAACCTTCTCCAAACTCACCTACGTTTCCATAAGAAACAGCAGTTGTATATTCGTAAGTTCCAGGAACTATTTCTGACCTTCTAATGGCATTGTCGCATTCGTTATACCATTCGGAAACATTTCCGTTCATGGCATCCAAAACTGTTGGCGTTATATTCTGAGCGGCGTACATTTCATATGGGTAAAAATATAGAATAGTTGGATTTATGTGTCATAATAGAACCTACTCGGACCAAGCTTTACTTTCTTCCTGACTGAGTTTTAACTCTTCTTTTTCCTTCATTGCCACTACTTTCACTAGATGAAGTTACTTCTTCACTACTTTCACTTTGTTCTACTCTTCTTCTTTGGTGTCGCTTTTGGTAACTTGCCCTCTGCTTCAAGTTGTTGCATCTTTGCCTCATGTTCACCTAGTATGTTGTAAATTTCCCATGTCCTTTTTGCCTTTGGGCTCTGGTCGCCCATCTCAGGTAACCTATATCCTAGAAAGATTTTGTCATAGTTTGTATTGAGTCTTCGCGTATTTTTGCATGACTCTTTCCTGAGTTTCCGGTTCAAGCTCTTCAAACAGAGCTTGTCCATATGGAATAAGCTCGTTTCCAAATATATGTTTTTGTAGCCATTCTGGTTTTCTTTCCATGTAACCAATAATATCTTTTGTGAAGATGGGAAAGCTTTTACCCAACGTTTCAGTCTTGCGTCATTTATTTCTGTAGTTGGTTTTATTTTGTCAAGGAACGTGTTTTTCAATACTAACATTTCATTTGGTACTGTCCATTTGAGTTTTCTTAAATATTCATCCATTCTCGGTTCATTGTCTGCAAAGTAAGTTTTTATGACATTTTGCAAACTTTCGTTTGCAAGGTCATGTACAATAGGTTCTCTTCCTTCTCTCTCCCTAACTCTCTTTCTAAACTCTTCACCAAATATACCATCTCTATGGTTCTGTGTAGTTCTTTGAGATAAATGTTCTAGAACGTCAGGTGTTATATTTCCATCAGCCATGTTCATTTCATACTGGTCCAAAATATCTGCATCTTCATATCTTTCAATGGCATTAAAGCCGCGCTGAAAATACCAGTTATATCTGGTTCACCATTCACTTCCATTGCGTCTACAACTTCTTGGAATTGAGGTTGTAAGTTTATGAACCACCTATCCGGATTAGCTTTATGACCCCATCTCATTGTAGTTCCATCGTCTGCAGAAACAAAAGTAGGTTTGTTTCCATATTGGTTAGGTTCTGAATGAACTTTAAACAATGTTTCATTTCTATATGTTTTGTTGAAATTTAACCTTTTATTTTCACCGAGTTCAGCCAAAGATTGAACGTTATATGGTCGTAAGTAAAAAGGATTATTGTATTTGCGTACATTTTCTTTCAGTACTTCCATTCTATGCTGAATATTTTCATCTGATGTTGGAGTCTTTTGTATGTCGGCGAACATTTTTCGATATTCTTCTACTATGTCAGCCGAATTTTTCTTAGACTCTTGGAAAGATTCCATATTCTCCGCATACACTTGTTGAGGGTCAAGATTTTTCGGCTGTTCCAAATCTTCATCTAGTTCTGTGAAGTTAGTTTCCAAAGGAGGGACTTGTTCGTTTCCTTCAGGCTCTTCTAGCTGTTGTTGCTGAACTATTTCTTCCATGTCTGGTTGTATCTGAACTTCTTCCTGTTGAGTTTCTTGTACCTCATCTGGTGGCATTTCATATATTCCGAGACCGTTTTTAACAAGTTCCCTATCTAAGTCATCCGGACTCATAAACCTTTCTTCTTTCGTTCCGTCTCTATTTTTTACGCGTTTCATGAAGAGAGTTGAATTATCATTTAGCTCTGACACCAAATATCTCGGAGTAAATTCATTCATGTCATTTGGATGATATGCTATTAAATCATATCCCTTAGCGAGCTTGTATTTTCCAGGTTTGAGATTATATCCGATTTTATGCTGAGCCATAAAGCTAAATAGGTTCGGGTCAGTATTTCCTTCCTTGAACTTTCTAATAGCTTCTTTATATCTGTCACTAAAGTCAAGAGTATCTGGGTAACCATAGTCTTCCTTAAGCATTTTTAAGAATTCTTGGTTTCCTTTTTCTCTACTTCTTTTATGTCCTTGCTCTGGTTGTGGTGCAGGTGCAGGGTTTTGAACTGTTGGTTGTTGTGCAGGGTTTTGAACTGTTGGTTGCTGTGTTGGTTGTGGTTGTTGTGTTGGTTGTTGTTGTTGTGCAGGGTTTTGAACTGTTGGTTGCTGTGCTGGATTTTGAACTGTTGGTTTTGGTTGTTGTTGTGGTGCTGGATTTTGAACTGTTGGTTGTTGTGTTGGTTGTTGTGTTGGTTTTGGTGCATGCCTGTGTCTGTGTCCATGTGACGATGTAAATGTTTTAGGTAGTCCTGGTGCAGGTGCTTCTCTTGGAGGGTTTGGTGGTATATAAGTTCCACCAGCTGGCACATATGTTCCATCTGCAGCATAATGTCCTACCTGACTTTTCGTTTTTAAGAAAGCATTTACTAGGTCTGTTTTGGTCTGTTGTAACTCTTTTTCTTGACTTTCCACAACAGTTGCTCTAACGGCGTCATAGGCACTTTGAACTGCCTGTCTCGTTGCTGTATCTGTTATTTTCGTCATATTTTGTGCTACTTCTCTTAACTCTTTGTCGAAACCTTCAAACTTCAGTTTCTTTCCAGATGAGAAGTCGTTCACTAGTTTCACCTTACTATGAAGAGCTTCGAGGCATTCTTAAAGTCAGCATTCATTAAAGCTTCATTTGAACTGTCTTCATCCGCTTGTATTTTTGTCCTTATTGACCCTATAAGTTGGGCTGCTTTAGCGTTGGCTTGGGCATCTAACCAGTCATTATTAGCTTTTATATATTCTGCGCTTTTCATTGCCTTTTGCATGGCTGCGTCGTTATTTTTACTTTCTTGTGCTAAGTTTTCATACTGTACGGTTTGGTTTTGCAACTGTAAAAGTTTTTCTGCCTTTACATTTGCTTCAACTTCTTTTTTATACTCATCGCTATCCATATATGTCTTCAGGGCTTTTGTTTTATTTCTTCATCTTTCAGTACTTTATATTGAGTAGTATGGTTTTTCAAATTTATAACATCTTGTTCCATTTTTGCTACTTCTGCTGCTTTTTCTGACACTTTTTTCGCATATTCCTCTGTACTTAGTTCTTTCAGTTGTTCTTCTTTCTTCTTTTTCTCTACGTTTAACTCATTGAGTTTCTTTGTCTGTCTGTCATATTCTAGTTTCTTTTCGTTTTCACTTATTTGTTTCTGTATGTCTATGTTTGACTTTTTGACATCTGTTATTTGATTTTTGAGTGAACTCAAATTCATTTGACTTTGAGGGTTATAAGCTGTTCCGTCTGCAGCTCCACCATAGCCTGCCATTTTCGCTAAAAGTGCCGCTCTTAAACCTCCACTCTGTGCACCAATAACTCGGTTTAAAAGCATAGGGTTGCTTGACATTTGTTGCAACATAGTGGGGTCATTCATCATTTGTTGTTGCAACTGTTGTTGTGGTGTCAGTTTTACTATTGGATGTTTCAATGCTCCCTTCCTCTTACGTATATTCTTACGTAGCTTACGTGGCATTTTAAGTGAAGTTAAAAAGCGGTTTTTGACAGATGTTTATATGACACTTTTTGTTCAGCACAAAAAACTACTCGGTCAAAGTGTTGTCAGTTTTGTAAAATAACCGTCCTATCTCATTCTATAAGGGGGAAAAGGCTTCTCAAAGTATACTTCCTTGGAACGCCCGTAACTTTTCCTGTAGCGACGATAGACCCTTACTTGTCTGGACAAAGTTATACTATTTTGAGTGCTCTACAAAAAAGTCAACGGCTGGTCGGCTGGGGTTCGGTCCTCCTCTTGGGTCTTGGGAAAAATTTCTTATGGGCTAGAGGGCGCAACGCGCCTGGAAGCCCCACTACCTTTTTTTTTGATTTTTATATAAAATAGTTATATATTAGAAAATAATATGAGTTTATGTGATATTATTTTTCAGAAGATTTCATTCTATATGCCTATGAAAAGTACTCTCAAAACTAACTTTTCCTAATTATAATTAAATCTAGAATATTGTATTATGCTTAGTATTATTTCATTTTTCTCATTCAATTTAGAATTTACAAATGTCAAAAAATTGAGAGTTGTCACTTTTGATGAATTTCTGTTTATTACAACCTGTCCATAACTTTCTCATCTGAGAATGAAGATTTTCAGATTTCAATAGATGTAAATTTTTTTAAATGCTTATTTTCCTTCTTCAGTTTTTTTATATTGAACAAATACCATTTGTTAGTAAATTATTGAACAAATACACAGTACTAACAACGGAGTTCAATATAACATCGTTAAATGGAACTTATTATTCACAATGCCAAATTCAACGAAGCGTCGGCTCCATTTATGCTATTAAAAACGAGGAAAATCATTTATTTGATGTATCGATTGATCCAAATGTCATTGATTCACGTCATTTTTTCCACTTACTTCGATCAAAAAACATCTCTTGTACAATTTCAAAAAACAAGATTGGTAAATATCACATTATTCAGAATGAGCAGCCAAATTCAATAAACATCGAAAATACAGAATTAAAATTTATCAAAAACCCATTTTCAGTCAATGTTATGACAGTAGGCTTCTATCCACATGATATTTGTCCTTCAGTAACACCATTTACATATTCTACAGGCTTATTTTACTTAGCAACAGCAATTTTATTTATTATTGTTGCCATTTACATCCAAAGTTTTAAGAATGTTTCATCCGATCATCCACGTTGGTTCATCTCTAACGATGAGAAGATCAATTACAAATTTTACGAAGAAGGAGACAACATTGAAACGTTTTTCTTGACACGATCACTTTTCATGAGCCGTCAGACTGGATTAAAAGACTCCGCAGTTGGCAGACTGTTCCGTGGCGAGCAAAGTCAAACATTTGAACGAATTGCTACAATTCCAATCAATGATAAGTACAGACTTCAACTTTACTGGCTAGAAACACCAGATCCACCATCAACACCCAACTTAGAAGTCAAATTTACTAGTGATGAATTACAAATCCACGGAAAACCACAGATCTCTTTCTCATCATTCAGAAGCTTCCGTCCTATCACATTAGATTTCACATTATCATACAATGTCCGTGGCAAGATCGAGATTCCGTCCGAATTCATTGCTCCATTCCAACCATTTGGTCAATTAGTTACAAATGCTAACCACATCCTTAAGAAAGTCTCGGAAATCTTCAAGAACACTGCATTTTTGAGATCTAAGTTCTCCGATATCATGGTTGAGCTTTGTAAAATCTTAAATTGCAAAGCAATTTACGCCGTTAACCAAGATAACCTCATTATCACTAATTATTCTCAGAATCCATCCGACCTTCTTTCCGATTCCGAAATCTATGAAATGGTCGGTAAAATTCCTTCAGATTCTCCTATTCATTATTATACTAGGGATTTATTACCTGGCCATGACTTTTGCTATGTATCCCATTACAATGATAATTTCTATAAGCTTGATTGTGTCTTAGTTTTTAATTCAGAGCCAGTCAACAAATTATTCAAAGAATTAGGTGTTCGAATTCTTATGGAATCATGTTTATTTGTTCACCGCTTCATTATTACTAAGGAACATTCACTTCGATTCCAACATATCATTGATTTGTTGACAAATTCCAAATCGTTTGTTTTTGCAGAGCTTCTTGATGATGGCACACCAATCTTATACAAGACATCATTCAAACAGAACTCATTCACATCACTTCCCATCCTTCCAAGTCGAGATATCATCCATGACGATATTGAACTGAAGCAATACACAGAGTTACTTGATAAAGTCAAGAAAGATAACTCATTCATCAGGAAATTCAGTTACCATGTTGTTGAAACAAATAATGGTAGTGAAATTCCACGATGTCTTGCTGTTTCGGCAGTTTGTAACTACGACACAGTCATTGGTTCACAAATCACAACTATTTATGCTGAAGAAATCTCTACAATTAAACAACAAAAATCAGATTTAATTTCTGCATTAAACGATTTGAGTATTGCAAACAAAGTCCTTGGTCTTTACAAGTTCAACATTGAAGGCAACAACCTTGTTTTAACAGACAATCGCATGTTAATTGATATTAGATTTGACTCTAATCAATCATTAACATTGAACAGTATCATTCATCCCGATGACCTTTTGCAAATCGAAGATCTTCTTGATGGTCAGAAAGTTATTTTCCGAATTCAAACACCAACTTCATTGATCTGGTATTCTGCTATTTCCAACAAAATCAGTGGTTTCTTGTTCTGTGTTAACTATCTTCTTGACGAAAAAGGTGTTCAATCTAATAAGGATCTTGAATGTGAAATTCCAGAGTTACAACTTTGGGGTGTTGATATTAGAACTATGAAAGTTTTCAAATTGTATGATTTACCAACTATTTGGGATATCCTTTGTATTCCTAAAGAAACAGAATTTACATATTTCATCAATTTCATCCACGAAGAAAACCGATCTGCATACGCATACCAATATCAACGTATCTTGCAAGGTTCTAAACAAAACATCACCGAAGAGTACATGTTCAACCGCTGTAATTGCGAATTTGACTGGGTTCGATTGACAATGTTCCGTAAAGAAGAGAATATCATCTGCATCATGACAAATATCAATTCCATCAAAGATAGTGAAAACAAAGACATGGAATCGTTTGCAGAACGAAATTCATTCTTCTTGAACGCACGAATGATGCCATGGGTTTTCGAGAACCGTATGGATGAGCTTCAGAACCGTCTTACATCATTTGAACCCGGTATTTCTAAGCTTTTGACTATGAATTGGTGGTTTATCGACCATTTTGTTGAAAACAAAGAAGAAGTTTGTGCTGTTATCGAAAACATGCATGAGAAGATCGGTAAGTTCCATATGGTTTGTCGTCTTAATTTCGAGAATTCTGTTTCTATTTTAATCAATGGTGAACACAAGCGTAACGGCACTACATTGACCGGTTTCTGCATCGAAATCAATTCTATCTTTAAGAGCTGGAGTGACTTAGTTCGTAAATACGACAGTCTTCGTGTTAGTCACCAGAAAAACGAAAGCGACGACAAAAACAGCAAACATGAAATCTTATCTATCTTCAATGACATCTTCTGCAGTGTTGATCTTATGTCTCTTGACAAATCTAATAATAATGAATTTTACATTTTAGATTCATTCCAATTTGTTTTGAGTCATTTACTTGATATTTACAACAACCAGACAGAAGACATCAAATATCAAACAGACAAATCAACAAGTGAACTTGATTTGCTTGACATCTTTGAACGTTTGTTAATTCCTATTGACAAAGTATTCATTAAACACGGCATTGAACTTGATGTCACGGTTGAAAACATCTTCCCTTCTCTTTGCATTATTAATTCTGTTGTTGTTTCATCATCATTCATTCTTGTTCTTATTTACGCAGCTAACAACTGCAAAGACAAAATCTGTCATGTTAAACTTAGCTTCAGCGAACCAAATGCAACTGTGCGAATCATATATCATGGAGATGTTTATCCAACAGTCAAACTTGTTAACCCTCTTCACGTCGAATACACTATTAACAAACAGAAAGAAGTCGAAATCACCGTTATTCTCCCAGCTAAGACAGTCAGTCTCTATTCATCACTTGATAACAATATTCAATCTGTTATTGCCGTTGAAAATCAAACACTGTCTAATCAACTTCGAATGTATCTTCACAACATCAATGTCATTACTACAGATCTTGATCACATTGACAGTCATGTTTCATATCTTTTCTATGATTATGAAAACGAATCTAAAGTATACGAAAAACTTAGTAAAAATAATCAAATTAAATTATGTCATATTAGTCGAACATTTAAAGATGATCATTGTGTTCATGGTCCATTGATTTGTTCACAAGTTATGCGATTTCTGAATCAAAACATCAATATTCGAATTCCTAATGATAAAACACAGTTTGAATCTCTTCACAAACACATCTTAGTTGTTGAAGACAACAAAACAAACCAAATTGTTCTTCTTAAGATTCTTGATTTTCTTGGTTGCAGTCATCAAGTTGCTAACACCGGCGAAGAAGCACTTCGTCTTTTAGAAGACAACAACGAAAATGTTACCTCAGATTTTAGTAAAACTAATTTCGACATTATCATCATGGACATGCGTTTGCCTGTTTTAGACGGTATCCAGACATCACGTATCATCCGTAAGAGCAACAAATGGTACTCTAACATTTATATCATCGGTATCTCAGCTGCTCTTTCATCCAAATCAGATTGTTTGAACTCCGGCATGAACATTTTTGTTCCTAAACCAATCCGAATCGAAACTCTTCGAAATGCAATTTCTCAATCATTTTAATTTTATTTAATTTTTGTTTTATAAAACTTTTATTTTTATTATATGATACAAACTTTTTCAGTATATTAAAACTGGTTAAAATAAGCTCCTTTCCTTCCTAAAGTCTCTTATTCAAATTTTTCATAAAGGTTCATTCAATATTGAAACTGAAAAACGATGAAAATTTGCGTATTTTTTTTCATATTGTCATATAAATACGGAAAGTAAATCAGTAAAGGACAATAGAAAGTGATTTTGGATCGGTTAGCAATTTGGTTAATCTGATTATGTCCATAATAACATATAATCATATAATAATATATATTTATTCTTTTCTGCATATTAAGGATGCGCTCACCATGTCAGATTTTTCATGCATGTATAACTTTTGATGGACTTAAACCTAGATTCTGGTATTCTGCCATATATATTAATTTTTTATAAACTACTATTTCTATTAATGTTTTAAAATAATAATTGTTTTTCACAATATTCAGATTTGATTTTTGGCCAAAATCGTAAAATATAAAAATATCAATCCATCACAATATTTTAAATTCTAATGATATTCTATCTTATTGATGGTATGGCTGGAAAATTAACATTCATGAAGTTATTAGATTAAGAAAATTGAATGGACCCTATTCAATTTTTTTTGATTTTCCTCTCAATTTTATAAAAGATATAACTCAAGAACATGTGACATCAGGATTGACTCACACAATTAAAAGGATATATTCCTTTTTGGATAAAAGCCTGATGGAACGATATTTTAAAAATATATTACTAAAATGAAAATAAAAAATCTAATTTTATGAAAATAAATGTTTATTCAACAGTATGCAAACCATATAAAATTTGCATGAGGGAAAAAATTCTGGTATCCGTATTAGTTCTCAGCATCTATTATTCCGACCTCTGGATTTTTTTGAAAAATCGCGACAGACTTACCATCATGTATTTTTGCGTATTTGAAATGCATATATAGTATATATTACGAGTCTATTCTTTGATTTTTTTTCTGATGAGTTTTTGAAATTTGATTATACAATTATATTGATTTTTCATATAAGAGGCGTAGGATAATGTAATTCAATTTGAGTATATTGGTGTTAGCTTGCTCATTTAAAAAAATAAAAGTATAATACTATATTTGCTAATTATTCATGGAAGAATCAATAGATATTTTGTACACAGCTTTATGAAAGTGTGCCTAAACAAGTTCAAACAACATATGTAACAAAAGTCATTGCTGTGTCCCTACCTTGCATTGGTGGGAAATTGTAAACGGCTATCAAAAAAAGTGCAGAAAATTCAAATGTAAGAAAAGAAAATATCATAATTATTGTAAAATAATAATAGGTACTTGCAAATAAAGATTATTTTAATGGAATTATGGAGAAATATTATTCACTTTTAAAATTTTTACACTTTTGAATACTATTCAGAAATTCTTTGAAAATTTAAAAATCATTCAACTCAATAGCGAAAGGGATCTAGAGCCTCAAAGTTTTACTATCATAATGATTATATATTCTAAGCATTTTTATGGAATGTTAGTGCATCCTTAAATCATTATTTAACTCCAATCGAGATATAGAGCGATTTTCACCATGTTTCCATATGCACTGTTACTTCACACTTGGAGACCTAAAAATTTTGACTTAAGAGTACTTAGGCGAGGATATGTAAACCAATCAAAATTAACCTTAATCATATTGCAATTTGTGATATTGGATCCAATATATTAACCTTAAAAGTAAATTTCTGGTGACTTATCGTCTCATGCGCACCATTAATGAGTCAAAATTCCCCAGTGTTGACAACACAAGTGCATAACAAAGCAAGGACTTTTAAATATCAGCCAGATAAATATAATATAATATAATATTATTTTAACCTGCGTAGAAGTGCAATGCAGTTTTGAAAACAGCAAGAAAATTCAGTTGGTCCGAGTACTTTGAAGGTAAAGACGAATTCAATCAAACACAAAACGGAACTGCATTATATGATAAATCAAGTTCTCTTAATTACTACGTTTATTTTTGCGTTTTTTACGGCTGTAAAGAAAACGGTGCAATTTATATCGGAAGAACAGACGGCATATGTACATTACTTGAAGATACCGTATTTACAAGATGCCTATCCACTTTAAATGGTGGATCTGTTTGGTATGACTGCGAAGAGTTAGGACAGTTTGTTCAACAACGAAATTGTTATTATAAATCAATAGCAAAAAATTATTACATGTCATTTCTACAATGTGCTAAAGGTTCTCCTGATTATAAAAGCTATGCTTTTCAAATTTCAGTTTCAAAATGCGGAGAAAGTGAATCCGAAGGAAGTGAAACACTTAGAATTGCATTTGGTGATCTACGTTTTGAGAATAACAATATCAGTTACAACAAATGCGGTTACACTTCATCAATATTGAGTTACCTTGATGGAAAATCAGGTACATGTAATTTCTCAACATTCAGAGAAAACAGCCAAACTACAGGTTTGTCTCTTATATTTTATAGTAATTCAGAAATACAAACAGTTTCTTATTGCAATGTTATTGGAAATAAATGCAGAACTTACAATGATGCTTCTCTATTTTATTGTTGGCACAATACTAATGTTGATCACTGTGTTTTTTTAAATAACACTGCAGCAAATATGTTTCGTATTTTGAGAGAAGATTGCACACTTACTATTACTGATTCATATGTTCAATCAAAGTCAACAGCAAGTATTGGATCAGGAACTGTTACATTTAAAAAAGAAAAAAGAAATTCTGATCTAAATCAACTTTCACATTTTTATACAGAAAATTGTTTCATAGAACAAAATCAAATCAGTTTTATATTACCTTATTTATCTAAATTTTCAGGAAAAGCATCAACCAATTTTTAATATAAAATGATTATCATCAAATGAGAATTTATTAACTAATATTCCAGTTTTTGGTTTCCTTTGCTATCTATTCAAAGCTTCCCATCTGCAAATGAAGAATTTTTTATACTATAACTACGAAACCTTGAAACAAGCTTGTTCCAAAGCAATATCTGTAAATCTTTAAAGATTTGTATTTCCAAATTCTTCCAAGAATTTGGAAATAGAAATCTTTAAATAATACATTTAACTCTCGATTACATAATATACGAAACTACGATGACTTTGAGAAACTACTTTTTAAGAGACTGTATTTATGTAATACAAGTACTCGCTAGTATTGTTATCGATGATACAATCCATTAAAGAGCAATTTTTCCAAGGTTTTCCAAATCAAAGAAGATCTTGGAGAAACTGCTCTCGATATGGACCGAGCATATCTTGTAAGAATTTCGATGATGTAATATATTTAGAATTTGATTTTCTTTGAGGGGAATATAATATATTAATCAGTAAATTTTAAATATTTGACCAAAATCATTGTAAATATTGAATATACTCTTATATTAAAATAACACAAGTGAATTTAACTTGTTGAAGTTGCATATTGAGAGAATGTGATAAATGTGATTTACAAATCAATCACAACCAACCCTAATAAAAGCACTGCCATATGGAGAAATTATATTCTCCATCTCCAATTGGTTCGAGGGATCATTCATAATGGAAAACGGTCCGTTTAAAATAAAAATCCTGGACCCACTCAATTTTTCCAGTATACTACCAATAAATAATTTGACCAATGTTAATATAAGCCAAATGCATAATATCTTAACACTGGATAATCACATATAATCTTAATGTATATATATTCTTTTCTGCTTTTTAAAAAAGAGGGAATTTTGAGAGTTGGCGTCACTCGGGCGTCATATTGTAAAACATTCAATTTTGAATACTTTATGGCGTCATAAGGCAAAAATTCAGAGGGTGAGCGTCACGAAATAAATGTCAGATATTTTTAGATGAGCAATCGTTGAGGAAGTAAAAAGTGACCAAAAAATTATTTGTTGTTTTATATGACATTATAGATAATATTATGGAATAAAAATTTTCATAATGATTTTCATAAGCTCAGTGAAATAATTGAGAATTTGTAAATTATGAAACAAAAAATTGAAGAAACTTTTGAGAGATAGAAAAAAAAAGACTAAGAAATTAGATTGTGGCCTAGGAGAGGCTGGACTAGAGCCAGTACTTCGTAGGCAACAATTTCCTCTCTGAGAATCTAAAACTTTGGTTGCATAAGATGCAATCAGAGCTAAAAAAAGTTCCAGAGAAGGAATCGGAACCTGCGAAGTACTTACCCAGAGTAAGCACTTTGCAGGCAACAATTTCCTCTCTGAGAATTTATTACTTTTGTCTGATTAATTCTCTTTCAAATGTTCTCTCAAAAGTCTTTTTTCAATAAATTTTAAAATAATATTACCAAATATATAACTATTCAATTTAACTATATATAAATTTCAAAACCCCAATCAATATTTTTGAAATATTTACATTACTTCCTCCTTTATTTTTGACACAAATAATCGTTTTGTAAACTAGGACGCCGGCCCTTATGACGTCCGTAAACCATTCAAAATTGAAGGCCTTCATGTCGCCTCCCTCAAACGAACCCAAAAAAGAAGGTTAATCGAGATATATAGCGATTTTACCAACACTCCTATATGCATTATTGCTTAATACGTGGAGACCATTACAACGCACATGGTAAGCATGTTATCCAATAATTTGACTTAAAGTGTTTCTCCCCTTTTAAAAATTCATTTCCCATTCATGAGTCAAAACTCCCCAGGATTGACAATACAAGTTCATAACAAAGCAAGAACTTTTAAACATCAGCTAGAAAAATACGATACCACCTTAAAATACATAGAAAGGCACTATAGATTTGAAAACTGGAAGAAAATTCAGTTGGTCAGAGTATTTTGAAGGTAAAGATAGATTCAATCAAACAAAAAATGGAAATGCGTTATATGATAATTCAAGTTCTCTTAATTACTACATTCATTTTTGCATTTTTTACGAATGCAAAGAAAACGGCGCAATTTATATCGAAAGAACTGATAACATATGTACGCTAATTGAAGACACTATATTTGCAAGATGCCAATCCACTGATAATGGTGGATCCGTTTACTATAAATGCGAACAATTAGGACAGTTTGTTCAACAACGAAATTGTTATTTTGAATCAATAGCAAAAAATTATTACATGTCATTTTTCCAAGAAGTATCTTCTTATAATCATTCTAAAAACTACAATTTTCGAATTTCAGTTTCAAAATGCGGAGAATTAGGAGGATTTCTTACATTTGAAATTGCATCGGGCGATATACGTTTTGCGAATAACAACATCACTTACAGCAAATGTGGTCAATGGTCATCAATATCATGTTTACTTTTAGGAAAATCAAGTACATTTAATTTCTCAACATTCAGAGAAAACAACCAAACTGGAAGTGAATCTCTTTTTTTTCAAAGTATTACTGATTCAGAAATGCCAATAGTTTCTTATTGCAATGTTATTGGAAATAAATGCGGAACAGACAGAAACCAAGTTCTATTTATTGATCACTGCGTATTTTTAAATAACACTGCAAAATATATGTTTTATATTTATAGAGAAGATTCCACATTGACTATTACTGATTCATATGTTCAATCAAAGTCAACAAGAAAAGATCTAGATGAATCAGGATCTGTTACATTTAAAAATGAAAAAAGTAATTCTGATCTAAATCAACTTTCACATTTTTATACAGAAAATTGTTTCATAGAACAAAATCAAATCAGTTTTATATTACCTTATTTATCTAAATTTTCAGGAAAAGCATCAACCAATTTTTAAGTGTTTTTTGTTCGAGTGTTTGTTTGAGTGTTTTGTTTTGTTCTTCAATAGAAATGTTCGCTTGATTGAACTCTTCAATCTGTTTTTCAAAATGAACTTTTTGTTCTGAAAGATTCTTATCCATCTCGTTTATGTAATCTTGTTGCATCATATCTACTGTCTCTTGTAACTTTTGAAGAAGTCTTTTGTTCTTTTTCCGTAATTTGCCTATTTTACTTACTGCTTTATTGAGCATTCCTTCTGTTTCATGGAGAGCATTTGTGATATCTGCCTTCTCAGCTGTTAATGCATTACATTTAGAAATGAGCTACTGTATGAAAAATTTTTATACTATTAGAAATTAATAATAACAATATGTTTATTTATCTAAGATATACTTCGTTTGTTAATAATTATGAATAAATTCATTAGATGGAAGAATTTAGATTGGTATCGAATAATATTTTGTCTTGTTGTTGGGATATATAGTGGAATGGAGATGTATTGAAGAACATCAATTGTCGTTTGATCTGAAAGCTTAATTGTGTTATCAAACAATACATGAACTAACTTTTCTCAAAAAAATCTTTAGATGAATTTGTTAAAACTGTTTTGCTTGTTATGTATAAATTACTTCCATGCGGAAAAACTTTGGAGAGACCAAAGGCAATAATTTGATAGGGAATGAATGTTCCTGTTATGTAGAGATTCACTGTATTTGATATGCTTTGAAATGCAGTTTCATCAATTTTAAGGTCATTTAAATTGTTCTGGAATACAATATTAGATAAGCTTGAAAAGCAAAAAAACGTGAATAGTTTGATATGCGTCAAACTTCCTGGAATATTAATACTTTCTAATGTTGAACAAAGTGCAAATGCAAATTCTCCAATATACTTAATTTTATTATGAAGTTCAATTGAAGTAATTGATACTGCATAAAAACAAAACTCTGAAATATTTGTGACATAATTAGGAACAATATATTTGCTATCAGAGTATGATTTAGCAACTCGAAACAGTGTTGAATTATTAGCTCCTGAAAACAGGGAGTTGAATTTTAATTTAAAATTTGGATTCTCTGGATCAACTGTTATATTTTCTAATTGGCAAAAATTAAAGGCATTTGAAACTATTGTGATTAGAGATTTTGGAATAAAAATTGAAGATAATTTTGATCTTGCAAAACAATATTCATCGATGAGAATTAATTTAGAATTTGATGTGATTTTTATTGTCTTCAAACCACCATCTGCAAATGCATTATTATAAATCATTTCGACTGAATCAGGTAAATCAATTGATTCAAGTACATTAGTTGATGAAAAGCAAGAATGTCCTATACTAGAGATTTTTGGATTAAATATTACCGTTTTTAAATCAGAACAAAATCCAAAAATCGATCCATTAAGAAAAGTGAGTTGACTGCATTGACTGAGATCTGCTGATTGTAAACTTGTCGAATAAAAGCTGTAATTATAAATACTAATAATTTGGCTGTTTTCTTCGAATTTAACTGTTTTGATTTTGGATTTACAATTTTTGAATGCGTAACTATTAGGATTTGTGCTGAATATTCCTTTGACATTTGATGGGATAATGACATCAGGACTGATTTCTGCTGAACAACCAATAATAATTTGATTACTTTCATCAAATTCAAAAGGGCCTGCGCTATAACTTTGTGGAAGTCAAGAATGGAACAGATTTAGATAATATTAGCATTAATATGAATTTAAAAAGCAAACATTGGTTTAATTGAAGAAAAATATAAAAATTGACAATTTTCAATAAATATTGTGGATAAATGTTTCAAAATGAAGGCATTGAATAAATTGGTGCATATATGAGCAATGAAATCAAAAATTAAAATGGAAACCTAATATTCTAAATTTCTTTGAGAGGATGGAACAAATGTATTACATGTTGGTAATCTGTATGGAACGTTGTATCATGAATGATAACGAATATTTGATTATTGAACTTCTTGATTGAAATTTGAAAAAGATTGCAATGAATTATAGGGAAAATGAAATCTTTATATGAAAGGGCTACTTAAAATAGTTCATTGATTGATTCTATAATGGTAATACATGCTGAAAACCAGAGGATTTTCTATTTAGAAGTAATTCAATTTTTTATAACGAATGTTTCAAGCATATTGAATTCTTTTCTTTTACAAAAAAAAACAAGGACAAAGATCTTGCATGTAATGGATGGTAAATCAAAGTATTCTTCAATTCCAAAATGGCAATTTTTTAGATACTCTTCCATTTTAGATGATACCATAAATTACAGTTTCAAGTATCATTCTTAGATATCTTATTAAAATATGGATTCATATTGATTAAAAACAAATATTATTTTAATAAACAATATTACAAAAAACAAAAGATATGTTAGTCAATTAATGCTTGTATTGAGTTAACAATTTGTTTAGGTGAGGAGCCTTTAATATTCAATATAGTTTGAATGGTATCAAATGCTTGATAATATTCATCATACTTCGAGTATTGTAAGCTCTGTTGTCTCATTATATTACGTAATCGTTCGTTTTCTTCTTTATATTGATTGACTGTGAATCTTAACTTTGAAATTCGGTCTTTATAGCCTGAGATGCCTTCATTAACGATTTTAACTTCATCAATCTTCTTTTCGAGTGTTTGTTTGAGTGTTTTGTTTTGTTCTTCAATAGAAATGTTCGCTTGATTGAACTCTTCAATCTGTTTTTCAAAATGAACTTTTTGTTCTGAAAGATTCTTATCCATCTCGTTTATGTAATCTTGTTGCATCATATCTACTGTCTCTTGTAACTTTTGAAGAAGTCTTTTGTTCTTTTTCCGTAATTTGCCTATTTTACTTACTGCTTTATTGAGCATTCCTTCTGTTTCATGGAGAGCATTTGTGATATCTGCCTTCTCAGCTGTCAATGTATTACATTTAGAAATGAGCTCATTTACTCGATCTTTTTCATTTTTGAGTTGTTGACCTGACTCGTTTAATTTATCTACTAAAGCCTTGTTTTCACTTTGCTTTTGTACATCAGTCATTGAAAACTGGTCAATTTTACGTTGTAAATTTGATATTTCATCTTTTAAGTCTTTAACTTCCAATTTAGATTCGTCAACATAACCTTTGTAGTTACGTAATTGCTCTTTCAAATCGAGAATGACGTTTTGCTGCTGCTTAATGATACTATTGCTCTCTTTCAAGTCGTTTGCTAATTTTTCGCTATTTACTGTTGCATTTTTAAGCTTAAGTGCAAAACTATCAAACTCGTTGTCATCATTACGTATTTGGCGTATTGCATTTTGTAATTTTCCATGTGTTGTTTCGTATTCGGCTTTGAGTTGGGCTAATTCATCTTGTAGACGAGCAATAGTTTTAGATTGTTTATTTTTCCTGGAAATACTTTTTTGTTTCATTGTGATAAATATTTCGCAAACATCATCGAAAGAGCAAACATCTATACCTGAAAGCCTACACATTTCTTTATAAAAATTGAGAATATTAGTATCTTCTATTTGAATGGATCGCAATTTTTTACGTTCTTTGCATAAAACACGTCTTAATTCAATATTCATATTAGCTTCTGTCTTAAAAAGTGAAAACAATGTTTCAACAAGATGATAAGCTTCGCTATCTTTGCTTTTGTGATCATTATTTCCTAAAAATTGTTCGATTGCACGACTTTGTTCACGAAAATTTACCGAATTTTTGTTGTCGCTTGATTTTTCGACATTGTCGTCAGATAAATCACCAAAAGTAGCTGTTGAGAACGTCGAATCAAAGCGGCAGGACATTTTGGCGCCAAAAATAACCGCTCATAAATAAACGGTCGCCTTTACTAATTTGATTTTAATACGGAATTATAAGATGTATATAATGGGTTGTTTATTTTCCACATAAAAATCACTAAATATTGATTTCAAATTTGAAAAATTTTGGTTGATGTGTTTTATAAGCCATATCTCAATGCAGTTGCTTAGATTGTCCAAATAGGGAGATCTGTTATAAGAGTGGTCAAATATTTATTAAAAAAGAGCATTTTATATCAAAATTAAAGAAATAAAAACATTTTATTACAAAGAGTAAAGTAACCATGGTTACAGATGTTGTTGAATAGATGTATCTGAGATTTTACAATGTTTAAACCGTACACTAACAAAAAGATTTTAATTGCTTTAGAAACACCGAAAAATACATGGAAACAATAATATGTATTGAAAATAAGAAGTAATTTGGTAGATTAGGTCTATCAAATAGTCGAATATTATGAAAAATGAAAACCGTTAAATCTTTGAATTGAAAAATAAGTTAATCAAGATACTTATCTAGATATACATTTTGTAAATATTCGAAAACTTCTAATGGAAATTGTCTGACTGCTTCTGTTGAAGATAAAATTCGAGTTGTTCCTTTCGAATCTACAGTTTTGTACTTAATTTCTCCATCTTTCTTATATGCATCCTTTATTTCTATCCTTAAACCTTTTGGAATTTCGTTTTGTTTTGTAAAAATATCGAAAAAGTTTGATTTCGGTCCCTTCCTAGCTATGTAATTGGAAATTAAATCATGGCGTTGTAAATTTTCGTTATCTTCTTCCCATGTATCTTCAGAATCTGGATATCCTTTCCAATGAAGACGGTATTGGATCTTTCCATTAATCCACCTATGATCTACTACTGCTTCCACTTCAAATTGTTCGACCAATGATTCGGATGAACTTTCTTCACTCATTATTATGTCACTTTTATCCTATCAGTGGCTATTCATTGTAATTATCTTATCAATGGTGGTAACATATGGAAAGATCTCAAAATTGCTTTAAAAATGTGACGAAAAAACTAAATTGCAAAAGATACAATTACGAAAGAAAATAAACTATGTTTTTACAGACTAATAAATCGGTATAATATTACTGTTGTGTAGATTCTGCTTGTTGTTCATCGATTTTCATTGTTTCTGTCCATTTCCTTAAATGGACCAATAAATACTGAATAAGATCCTGAGGAGCCTCCAAATGAGGCCAGTCACCGCCTTCTTTCATAATTGATAAGATTGCATCAGGGAATTTTTTCATTGGATCAGAATCTTCTGAATATTGAATAATTCTGTTTGAAACGTCAATAACCATGATTGCTTTATCTGGGATAGTCACATCAAGTGGTAAAGCATGTGATTGTCTGAGTTCAACTCGAACTCTTGCGTCTTCAGAAGAAATCGTTTCAACTTCATGACTAACGAATAGTAGTGATTGAGATGGGTTCTGATAAACGTTGAATTTTTCGAATTCTTTCAATAAATCTGACTTTGCAGAAAATAGTTTAAGAAGCTTAATTGAATTGAAGCTTCCGCCCTTGAATTGCTGATTGGATGCGTAAGAGTTGATCAATGTAATAGATTTAGTTAAGAAAACCTTCTTTGGTGCTGATGCAATTTGAAGAGCAATGAAACCGCCCAAATCATTACCGACAAAATGAGCGTATCTTATTTGTAGATGAAGCATAAGTTCATTAAATCCTTCTGTTAAATAGATGTAATTTGGCGAATTTTGAAAAGAAACAGAAACAACTCTATATCCACGACTATTAAGAGCAGGCATTAAATGGAAATATGAGCTGACGGTTTCTCTAATACCAGGAAGTAAAATGACGGCTTCTGGATTCGATCTATCTCCAAGTTCACGGTATTGCCATGAGCAGTTATGGCATCTATCACGGAAAAAATGAATTGGGCATGTCATGCTTATCTGAATGAATTGAGAATCTGAATAATGAGCATCTCCAGACCACATTATTATTTGTGAAAAATCATGATGAATTCAAATTTTGTCAAAAGTACCTCAATCTCTTTTTGTCCTAATCGGGGTTAAAATCAGCCTTATTTTAAAAATCGAAAATGAAATTTTTCCTAAATGTTAGTCACCGTTACGGTTTTTTCTTTGGGGGCGAGCTTGCGAGCCCCCAAAAAAAGAAAAAACCGTAACGGTGACTAACATTTCGGCATAGTTTAAGTCTAGGTTTTGCATTTTAAAATGTTTGTTACCTTATCTTCTTTCAAAAAGTGGCAAAAATTTGTTTGAAATTTGAAAAAGATATTTTTATTTGCATAAATGACATTCAACTAAGCTGTAGCATGATTCTTTTGCATGCTCTAGTTTTTTTCTCAGTTCAATCTCCTTCCATACTCTTGCTTGTACCAGTAAGATCGCACCAAAATTCTCAAAATTTAAGATCTCCAAATTTTATGTCCAAAGCCAATTATCAAACGCCCTCATTAACGCCACTCATAGCCATCTTTCATGCATGAGAAATCGTTATTAGAAGATTTTTTACGGCTAATTATCTGATTCAATTCAGATCAATACTCAAAGCCCCATTATTTATTTATAAATCCTTGTTTGTCGCCTATGCGAATAAAAATTCTTTTTATATTTTAAACAATTTTTTTTCACTTTGGAAGGAGAAAGGTGACTAACATTTTAAAAATGCAAAAACCGACTAAACTATTCTTAAATTTTGATAAAAATATTTCGAAATTATTTAAAAAAATAGGTTGATTTCAATTTTAGTAAGAATTTTGGGAATTTAGGGTTGTACAAACTGGCACAATTTTGCGGGCCGCCTGCCAGGAGCTGGCACGCGGCCAAAATCAAAAAAGTGGCCAAAAATCGGGCCTCGTGGCGTGGAAAGGGTGGAGCCCGAAGGGCTCCACCCTTTCCACGCCACGAGGCCTATAACCACAATTATATAATATGCTCATTATTATTTTTTCTTTTTCTCTTTTCTTTCTTCTTTTTCCCTTTTCACTTCCTTTTTTTCTAGTTTTGGAAAGGAAAAAGTAAAAAATTTAATAATTAATTTTATTACTATGAAAATATACTTTTTAGCTTATATTGTAAGCTGTGAGAGTTTTAAGTGATGGAAGATATAAATCAAATTTGAAATTCAACAAATCTTGTTATGATTAAGTTGAATATTGTACTCTAATTAAGAGTTTTCAGTTATGAACTCAGGTATTATATAATAAAAGTATAACTCAAGATAATAAAGAGGTTTTTAAAATGTAGATCTGAAAATCAAACTACCATGTTTGATACGATTAAGTTGAATAATGTTATTTTATTAAATGGTTCAAATCTGTGAAATCGGCAATTACAAATTAAAGGCGTAGTTCAAAAAATTAAAGAGATTTTAAAAATTTAATATCAGAATTAAACTAAAAAAAGGATTTAGTTATTTCAGTAATTATCAGAAAAGGTTAAAAAGATAGGGTAAGTAATGAGACTTGAGTGAGATGTGAGAAATCATATGTAAATAATTAGATATCTGATGAGTAAGGTAGTAATGAGAGTTAAGATCTGGTTAGTAAGGTAGTAATGAGAGTTAAGATCTGGTTAGTAAGGTAGTAATGAGAGTTAAGATCTGGTTAGTAAGGTAGTAATGAGAGTTAAGATCTGGTTAGTAAGGTAGTAATGAGAGTTAAGATCTGGTTAGTAAGGTAGTAATGAGAGTTAAGATCTGGTTAGTAAGGTAGTAATGAGAGTTAAGATCTGGTTAGTAAGGTAGTAATGAGAGTTAAGATCTGGTTAGTAAGGTAGTAATGAGAGTTAAGATCTGGTTAGTAAGGTAGTAATGAGAGTTAAGATCTGGTTAGTAAGGTAGTAATGAGAGTTAAGATCTGGTTAGTAAGGTAGTAATGAGAGTTAAGATCTGGTTAGTAAGGTAGTAATGAGAGTTAAGATCTGGTTAGTAAGGTAGTAATGAGAGTTAAGATCTGGTTAGTAAGGTAGTAATGAGAGTTAAGATCTGGTTAGTAAGGTAGTAATGAGAGTTAAGATCTGGTTAGTAAGGTAGTAATGAGAGTTAAGATCTGGTTAGTAAGGTAGTAATGAGAGTTAAGATCTGGTTAGTAAGGTAGTAATGAGAGTTAAGATCTGGTTAGTAAGGTAGTAATGAGAGTTAAGATCTGGTTAGTAAGGTAGTAATGAGAGTTAAGATCTGGTTAGTAAGGTAGTAATGAGAGTTAAGATCTGGTTAGTAAGGTAGTAATGAGAGTTAAGATCTGGTTAGTAAGGTAGTAATGAGAGATCTGCGGGCAGTAATGATACATCTATGAGTACATAACTAAAACCTGAGTTCTATGAGCGAAATCTGAGAGCTAAAAGCTGAGAGATCTAAGGTAAGTAATGAGAGAAGAGAATTTGAAATTTTACAAAATACGTTTACTCATACAAATTAATTCGCATTCTTTTATAACGAATCTCAATGCCAATTAATACATAAAACAGATTTTAGCAATCAATTGTAAGATTTAGAAAGATTTTATTTATAATCTCAGCCAAATTAACAAATATTTTATTGATTTCGTAAAAAATAGCAATAAAACATAAAAATATGACATTCTATTTTTCCAAAAAAATTTCAAAATCATTTTTTAACATGAAATTTATATTTTTTAATATTATTTTTTAAATTTTGAATTTTTTTTGGAATTTTCAACCATGTCAAAAGTCGGGATCTACAAATGTATTCTCTTTGACATAGGATAAAAACATCCTTTCTTATAATTTCATTGTAAAATAAAATTTTCTTAAATTTATTGAATCCAAACTCAACTTTGCAAAATTTTATTATCATAAAAACTAAGAAACATCAGGTAAACTTCAATTTGGAGAGCTTAAAATCATATCTAAATTGAAAAATAAGGGGAAAAAAATTGTAAAAAAAAATCTCATTAGATGGGGCAAAAAGTGACTTTTTTAATGTGTTTTTTAAAAAAATCGTGCCAGCTGGCCAAAAAAGGTGTGCCAGCAGGCGTGCCAGTTTGTACAAACCTATGGGAATTTCGAAAAGATAGAAAGCGGGTTATTTTTATACACATCATGATTTCAAGGTGGAAAATACCAATAAGTACTAGAGAGTTCAAATTTCATTTTGATATTACTTTCTACAAATACAGTTGAAGATGAAAACAATATGAATTCAACAGATTTCATTATAGTGATGAGGGGTTAATGTAAGGATTTAAGAGATTTAGTTTATTTGAAAAATATTTTGATCTCAAATAATAATATAATATTTTTTATACAAACAAAACGAAATCTATTGATCAGGTAACTTAAATACTCCATTGACAAAATCAGGAAATTCGTATTTTTCTTTGGATGGATAAGGTAAAGGTTCGCTATATGAATATGCTTCTCCAAGGTTTGAAGGAAGTGTCATTATAGGTTTTTCAACCCTTTTCTCTTCAAATTTTGGCAATTCAACTTCTTCTGGTTCTGGAGCTTGCTGCTTTGATTTAAAGGCATTTGGATTGATGTTAAGCAGTTTATCAATGACAATTGAACCGTTTGGATCTAGAGTTCCAAGATATCTTGATCTGATTCCATATTTGGAACAATTTGGGCTACTTTCACCAGGAAGAGGTAATTTATGTGAGAAGAAACATGATTCACCATAAATACAGTTTCCTGCAAGCCAATCTGGACAAACAGTAGCTTTTTTATAAGTAAGATAAGGATCTTGTTTAACAATTTGTTGGCATTCAGCAACTATTGTAGGGTCTAAATGTAAAACCTTGTCACGAAGAGATCCATCCATCCATTCTTCCCCGTTTTCGATTTGGCGATCAACAAGTCTGTTGTTATACCATCTTTTGTACTTAGAAGTGAAATCACCTTGCTGCATTTTTAATAACTTGTTTCTGACTATAACTGGAATTCCAATGTCTAAATCTAATAAAGAACACTGGCAAACATTAGCTGCTTTTGCACATATTTGACATATATAAGTTTTATATGGAACTCCATTATACATCCAAAAGAATACAGAGAAAACTCTTTCACAAACAGCGCATTCTCTGCTTAATCTTGATTTTTTCATTTGAAAATGATTATCTGGTGGCAATATTCCTTTGTAAACTAAAGGAAAAGGTGGATCTAAGAGCTCTAGCAAAGAATCTTTTTCGCCACTCATTTTTAAATTTCTGAAGTTTACAAGATACCTCTATTATCTGATTACTCTCCCCCAAATAAATTAAAATCAAATCATTCGCGGAAAGAAACTACCATTGCTCAAGTCACTGTTTGAATAAAGGCAACATCAATGAACGCATATTAGGCTATCATAATATAGATTATTTCCTTCAAATAAAGATAAAATTTTTAAAATTGAGATTGAAATTTAAGTATCATCTTGAACTTATATACAAATGAAGCGAATTCAAAGAAAATTTTAAACATCTATATATTCTAAATAATCTAATAAAGAATTTTTACTTTTATCCAAAAATGCTTCCATACATTCCCTTAGCAAATTTCATCACTTTCATATATAACGGATCTGGAACAGCTTCATTAATAGCTCTAAGTGCATTGAATGTTCTTGGATAGCCTATATAGGGAACAAGTGAAAGAATCATCTGAATCAAATCCCATTTTCCATGACCTAAATTAGTCAATGCTTTCACGTGCTGTAAGAACTGTGGTGTAGCATCACCGTATCCAATGAAAATACATGTGATAACAATCTCACGCTGTTTAACAGTAAGGACTTCGCGTGTGTAGAGCTGTCCGTACATGAATGTAACAACCCATTTGTTCATTGGACCTTTTGTGTGGAAATCTTCCATTCCCGGACCAAAAGATTCCTTCTGTTTCTCGATGCCTTTCTTTAATGCTTCTTCAGGAGAAACTTTGCATTGGTTTTCAAGAGGCAGGTTAATGTTGTGCTGCTTGAATATGTCATTTGTTACTTTTAAGAATGGATAAACAGTTGAAGCTCCTAATATGAAAGCAGCTTCATATAAAACTTCTTTAATTTCTTGTGGTGTCAATATTTTGGTTAAAACTTGTTCAATGATATAGGGGTAGTAGTCAATTGACTTAGATCCAATAAGTGATCCGAGAATTCCAAGGTAGCGATTCTTTTCGTCAATTTTTGTTTCGGATTGAACAAGTTTTTCAAATCTATAGAAAAACTCAAAATACTCTGGGTCATTGTGTTCAAGTTCATCTAAGACTTCTTTATAGTTACTCATATGCTAAAAATATTAGCTTTCTAATGTAAAAATGATGTGGGGAAAATATTTTTCTGTCAATCTTTTCAATTTTTTATTTTTGAGAGCTCTCTCATTTTATGCAACATAAATATTTCGATTCAATACCATATGATAATTGTTTTTGAACAATGGGAAAAATGTCATTGAATTTTGAAAAATGATCCCCAAAATTGATATTATTATTCTTTACTTTGCTATTGTTAGGCGATATTATATATAATTTTAAAACAACCCTCATAAAAAAATAATCTTTCCCAAATTTCATTGATTCCAAAAGGATCTAGAATGCGTTTCAATGAGGCATAACCAAAGAACAAAGAATAAAAATTTATATTGTACATATTTATACAATAAATTCTTATAAAAATAGCATTTTTCGTGAAAATTGAAATAAAATTTTGGAAAATGATTGCATAATGATAAGAGTGATAAAACATTCATTGATAACATACGAAAAATGATGATATTTAACAATACCGAATAAAAATACAAATGTTTATAACACAAATTAAATATGCTATAAAATATTAGTTATGATGTCTACTAGAATGATGCCTATGCCTTCTAGTATCATCATTATCATTATCATCCCTGTAATTCAATGAAATTACAGGTGTTGAGTTCATTATTTCTTCTTTTCTTCTGAGTTTTATGTTTTCTCTTATTGCCTTCCTCAAATCAGCAGAATTTGTGATCTCCCGAGGTCCTTGGTCAATTAATTTTTGAGGTGATTTTCTATTTGAGGAATTTCTTTGGAGCTTGAGCTGTTCTGGGACTTTAGCTGGTGGTTCATCAAGGAAACCTTCTTCTTTCATCTTCTGTAATGAGTTTACTGCATTCAAAATTGCATCATGTTCGAAATCATCATCATACTTAGCTTTTCTGGATGGTTTCGGAGGCTCATGATGTTCTATTATTGGTTTATGTCTTGACCCAATTGATCCTTTCTCTTTTTTAGGTTTTTGATAAAATCTTTCGAGATCTGATGAAGGAACTAATGGTTTTCCTTTATCTTTGTAATCACTGGACTTCTTCTTCGATGATTTACTGTTGCTACTGGATGATTCTTTAATTGGTTTCGAATTCGAGTTTGAATTTTGGCTACTACTGATTTTTTCTGGATTTGAGCGACTGTTTGATGACTTCTGATGACTTTTATGATGTGTTCGATGCTTTTTGGATTCTTCTTTAGCTTCTTCTTTGAAATTTTCTTTTTCATATTGTTTTTTAGGTTTTTCAGCATTATCTTTTGCTGATTTCTTTGGTGATACTTTCAATCCATACTTTTCGATAGCTTTCATGAGATTTTCTGGATAATTTTTATGATGATTTTCTTTTTTATCGAAATCAGGGGTGTTTTGTTGGTCATCGTCATCCAAACGAGTATATGCTGCACGACTATCAATAGAATCAACTGCAAAATGGTGTCGTTTGTAAAATAACTTTGGAGGAGCTCCTCCTGAGCTTGAACATGAACTGGCAACGGTTACATCATATTTGTCTTCTTTTGCAATGTCCCAATCGTAGATGTAATCGTATTTATAACCTTTAGATTCAAATAATCGACGAAACATGTCTCTGTAACGTGAATATTCTGGTGTTTCGTAGAAATCTAAACCTCGCGCGTATTCTAAGAAGTGTCTGAACTCACCTGGAAGACCTGAACATAATTCTGTTAATTGAACTGAAATTTTTGCTCCTGCGATCCTGTAATGCTTCTCAAATTTATCAGTACAGTTTATTCCTTGCCATGGAAGACTTCCTTTGAGTAAATAAATCAAAACATACGCTAATCCTTCCAAATCATCTCTTCTCGACTGTTCAACGCCTGTTAATGCAGGAATTGATGCGTACCTAGCTGTGCCTGATAATGACAATCCTTCTCTGTATGGAATATGTTCTCCTGTAGTTGGATTTTTGTATCTTTTTGAAAGACCGAAATCAATCATGAAAAGTCTATTAGAATTTCGTCCTAAGCCAATAATGAAGTTATCCGGCTTAATATCGCGATGAATAAAACCTTTTGAATGTAAAAATTCAATCGAAGCAATCATTTGATCGGCAAGCATAAGAACTGTCTTCAATGATGGTTTGCGATGACAGATATTCAATAATGACTCAAGAGATTTGCCAAGTAAGTCGATAACAATGTAATTTCCTTTTTCGTTTGAACTTATTGAATAAATATGTGGAATACCAGGGCCACCTGCCAGGATGTTATACATTTGGCCTTCATATAAGACTTGTGGAACTCGGACGTCGAAACTTTCTAATTTCATCGCGTATTTCTGTTTTGTGACTGGATGTTCGACAACATATATCTTGCCAAAACTTCCCTGCCCAATTTTTTGGAGGATTTTAAATTCGACTCCTGAGAAATCCTCCATAAAAATTGAGGAAAAAAATACGTCACTTTTTTATGTTACTTTTTTTTATAAAAAAAAGGTTCTTAGAGTTATTCAATTGAAGTTATATTTAATCAATAACAAAGTATTGAAGACAATATCACAGTCTTGTTAAAGCTTGAATTAAGACAGTGCAAGAAAGAACGAAACAAATTTTGCAACAAATTCAACAAATTAATTTGTATTTTAGATAACGAACTTTCATTAGCTAAAGAACAATTCAATGATCTTACCCAGAAGAAAGCAGAAGAAGACGAGATGTACAAATCTAAAATCGAAGAACTTGAATTACAAAATGCAGAACTCTCTAAAATCAGTGACAAAAGTTATTCAGAAGATTTGACGAACAAAGAAAAATTAACAACAGTTTTAGATGAACTTGAAAAAGTTACATCAGAAAAGAAATCATTAGAACTTGAATTAACAAAATGCAAGAAAGAACTTTCAGGCATTATTGAACAAGCACACGATGATGTCCATAAACTTATTGATAAACTTAACCGTGAGAAATCTAAAACATCAATTTACAAATCTCGTGCTCTTTCAGCCGAATCAAAGAACAACGATGTCATCATTGAAGTTCGAAAGCGAACAGATTCATTGGCATCACAATATGGCACATCCATTGTTGCATTGCATAATGACTTGAAACAAGAACGAGAGAAAGTCACAAATATTAACAAAGAGAAAGATATATTAAGTGACGAAAACATTCGACTTAAAACAGAAATCTCTAAATTGAAAGTTCAATTGCGAACATTAACAATCAATAACGAAGACTTGAAGACGAATCTTGAAACAGAACGTTCAAACAACTCAGCCAAGATTGCATCTCTCAATATTTCAACATCATCAAAGATTGATGGTTATAACAAGTCATTTTCAGATCTTAGAAACAAGTTCAGAGAAGGAATTGCAAAAATCTCTGGTTTCGATATCAAGAGTTTACCAGAAGATGACGACGAATTAATTGATAGTGCATACAGATTTGTCAACGAAATTATGAATTCAGAAACAGCGAAAGTAACACAGGATGCTTTATACCTCAGAAAAGTTTTACGTATTGAAGGAACAGACAAACATCTTTCAGATGTATTTTCAGACATGAGATCTAAAATTGCAAAGCTCGATGACAAGTGCAGTGCAATTCAATCAGAGAATGAGAGAATACAGACACAGACAGAGAGAACTATGAGAGACAACGAACGTCTTCAGTCATCACAGGAAGAACTCCTTGAATGGAGTAGATGGGGAATGTCTTTGTTCAGACAGATATCAGACATGTCTCCACAAGGACAGAAAGACAAAGACATAAGATTGACAATCGAGGAACAGTTCATTGGTGATCTCGGTTTCGGTTCATTGAGAAGCAAACTCTCAATTTTGAGGAGTGAGAAACAATTCTTGCTCTCTCACTCGATTCCTGGATCATCAAAAACAAATACAAATTCGATAAGACCTGTTGCAATGGTAATCGTGTTTTCAAACATTTTACAAGGACTCTCTGGAACTCAAAAGTCTACGATATTAATCAAGGAGAAGAAACCTGCTCCAAAATTGTAATTTTTTTGCCTATATTTTTCAGCTTTTGGAACTATGAAATAAAATTTGATGATTTTTCTGCAAATTTGGATAAATAAGGTAATAAAACTGTGATTCGTTTTGGTTTTGGTTTTGGTGTCATGAAACAAAATTCTGTATAAAAACTTGGAATTTGATAAAAATCATAATTAATTTGATTTGTTCTTTGAAATGTGACAATTCCTCCTGTACTTGTTGTTGACTTTGATTGAATACATGAATCAGTAATAGTCAATGTGTAACCTTTATAAGAAATATCAAACATATATGCTGCAGTGTTATTTAAAAATACGCAGTGATCAACATTAGTATTGTAATTACAAAAAAATAGAACTTGGTTACTGTTTGTATTGCATTTATTTCCAATAACATTGAAATAAGAAACTGCTTGTATATATGAATTAGTACTACTGATAAATACAAGAGAGCTACTTCCAGTTTGGTTGTTTTCTCTGAATGTTGAGAAATTACATGTACTTGATTTTCCATCAAGGGCACTATCTATTGATGAACATCGACTGCATTTGTTGTAAGTGATGTTGTTATTCTCAAAACGTAGATCACCCCATGCAATATCAAATGCATACCATCCTTTTGATTCACTTTCTCCGCATTTTGAAACTGAAATTTGAAAAGCGTAGTTTTTATAATCAGGAGAAGATTTAACCCATTGATAAAATGACATATAATAACTTGCTATTGATTCAGAATAAGAATTTCGTTGTTGAACAAACTGTCCAAACTGAGGGCAGTCATAGTAAACGGATCCACCTTCTGAAGTGGATTGGCATTTAGTAAATGTGTTGTCTTCAAGTAATGTGCAGATATCGTTAAATCTTTTGATATAAATTGCACCTGTTTCTTTGCATTCTTCAAATATGCAAATAAAAACGTAATAATTGTTAGAATCTGTAGTATCAACGAATGATGTTCCATTATTTGTTTGTGTGACTTTATCTTTCGCTCCAAAATAATCAACCCAGTTGAAATTTCTTGCACTTTTCAAAATTGATTTGAGATTCGAAAAATATGAATTGTTTGTACAATTTACTTAACAGAGAGTGAGGTATCCCTGTTATGATTAGGTTCTGAATACTCAATGCTGAGTGAGATATGAGCATTTATTTGGAATAAAAAAGTGACAACTTGACAAAAAAATTTCAAAAAAAAGCTGCACTTACGCCCATCTGACTTTAATTCAAATTTTTGACAACTGGGGTGAAGCACCATTGTCATAGGCTAAGTCATAGGGGCGTAAGTGCACCCTAAAAAAAGTGAACTGAATAGAAATAAAGACATAGATATTTAACATTGATAAAAGAAAAAAAATATTAAAGATATGTATGTTAAGTAGTTTTCATATAATCTTGTTGTGCAAGCATCCACTCTTCTTGAAGTGCTTTAGAACGGATGGAAATGAAGATGAGGACAAATGGGATGATGCCTGCAACAATGGTGATAGGAATTAGAATGTATGGATAACTGATTTTCATATCACTTCCTTTCATACGTGTTAGTGAAGGAACAAGGTTGAATTCGCATTCACGATCATAGAAGAATGATGTTAAGACATTACGTTGTTCAAGAATACCTGATGCGGAGATACTGATAGCATCTTTTTTAACTTTGACGGCGGTATCTCTGTCAATACGACAATTAATGATATTAATGTTGTATTTGATATTCAGTTTATGTGAAATAGATCTGTTATCGTAGTTACTACGTTCAATCTCTGTATAAACTAAATAAATAATATGTTTCTTGGAATTATCTTGATTACATGAGACAAACATGGAATCAACAGTATTGTTGAAAACTTGTAAACGGAATAAACGTGTTAAATTAGATCCAAGTGAGTAAAAACCGTCATCACCAAGATTATAACCAAAAAAACTGTAACTAACCATAACTTTCTCTAATCCAATAGATGCAACAAAGCAACCATCACCGTGAAAACGGTTGTATGTAGAATTCGTACTTGCAATAATAGGAGAGTTTCGAAAAACTGAAATGACGTTATCTCCACCTGTGTAATTGTTTGGACAGCAGAAGATGGAGCATAATGTAGTAGTCGATGGACATTTCTTACTTGTAGTGTAAGCAGCAACTGCATGATGTGCATTATCACCAATACAACGACTAATGCATGTTTCTGAGAGGTCGACTTTGGTGCCGCCGATGAACAGAGCACCACCACGGTCTGAACGGCAATCGCGGAATATACACTGATGAACTTGAATTTGTGGATATGAATCTTGTGGGAAAGGAATTGAGACGGCACCGCCTATGCCACCAACATTTGAGCACTTTGTAAATGTGCACCGAGTGATATTTAGAACGCTATCGCCATTATATGAGTATCCATTCGTAAAAGATATGTTATAGAGGCTAATTGATTGGAAAGAAATCGCAGAATTGAGGAATTTATTGAATTTCGATGATTTAAATTGAATGTTATCGCGGGTATTACAAGTTTTGAAGAAATTTGAAACAAAATTATTGGCAATAACTTTGTCAAATTGGATATTCTTCTGAAATGTGGCCCTAGAACTTAATAGTAGCGGAGATTTTGCTAGGGACTGTATGACTAAAGCAGAAATTGTTTGATTCATCATTTTGTGAATGTTTCAACGGTTATTTTTTTTACAAAGATTTTCTTGCTCCTATCGTTACCAGTTTTGAGTCATTCTTGTGGAGAAGCCATTTGAAATTTTACCCAAGAGATTTAAGGAAATCATAAGTAAACAGATGTTCAATCAAACCATTTTATGAAACTAATCATGCCTAAAAATCTAATTTTAGTAAAATTTAACTCGTGATTCTTGAATTTAGGCTTCATATCATGTTTAACATATTGTATTATGCATACAATCCCAATACTCTACTGTTTCTGGCTTCATTAATGGGGTTCGAAACGGTTCTTATGAAACATAAGTTTTTGAATCATTATAACTTTAACATTGTATTAATTCTATCAAAGTAATCAATCTATTTTAGATATTTTATCTGTTTACTTGATATTAGCTAATTTTCAAATCAAATTTAAGTTATTTTGTTTAGTTTTATTAAACATATGAGTAAATAATTCATTTGCGCATTAAATTTAATAACAAACAAAAAATAAGTTTATGATATAAAACAAAATACACAAAAATAATATTAAAATCATATTCTACAAACATTCAAATGATATACACTATCACTTGAACAGCATTACTCAGGCATCGGAGGAAGAATTGTCTTTCCAGATCTGTACGGTCTTCCTGTTGATCTTGCTGAGGTAAACATCGAATTAGAACGAGAGTTTCGAAGTATTGGAGCAACTCCGACTGTCAAATGGTTTGATTTTGAGAGGATCTTTCTATTATGTTCAGGAGGAGTCAAATTTGCAACGAAACCACCACCAGTAATTGCAGGAGCTACAATTCCTTCAGTGATAAACCACGGTTCTGGCTCTCCAAGCGAATGAGATTCAGTGTAAATTTCATTTTTAATTGAAGAAGCCGCTTCTCTTCTTTTATTCACTCTTCCTCTCAATTCCAGTACCTGCTTATCAGAATTTTTGAGAGGCTTTAGCTGGTTCTTGATTTGGTTGGACATTTCCTCCATCATCTGGTCCATTCTATCGCAATCGCTTTTGTATCTCTCGATATATGTTTTCACCTGTTCCCGAGTCATCGATTTATCATAGTCAGCGTTTTTCTTGCCGAGATCTTTTTTGAGATCATTTCTTTCTTTTTGGAGTTTCTCGAGCAATCGGTGTGCATCATCAAGTTTATCAGTAAGCTGCATACGATAGCGAATGTTTTTAACATATCCTGGATCGACAGCTTCCATTACTTGCCATCTGTGGACATTTCGAGGAATTGCGAGTTCGTGGATCAATGTTATGTACTTCCGCTCCTCTATAACTAGCTGGCTTGATAGTTTTTGGTGGGTATACTGCAATTGGTTCAATTTGTCAGCTTTTTGTTCCAAAATTTCGGTTGAGCTCTTGTACTTTTTAAGTTGGTCGTTCAATTCTTCGAGTTCGCTCAACTTTTCTTTGTATTGAGCGGCACATTTATGGATAAACGAGGTTTTCGTTTGAATATCGGATCTTAGTTGTTCGATTTGTTGTGTCCTGGCCTTGTTTAGCTCCATTAAATCGGCAACTGTCTTATTCAAAGCTGTTGTCTCTTTTTGAACGAGAATCTTATCAGTATTCGATTCATTTATGATGTAGCTCAATGTAGTATTCTCAGCTTGTAAATGAGAAATGATTCTTTCGACTTTTTGAATTGATGTTTTATATTGTTGAATTTCGGAGTTCAATTCATCAATTTTGTCGTTGGAATCACGCGTTTGGAAGTGAGAATTGATGGTCTGATTGAACAATGATTGGTTCTCTGTTGTATATTTCTGGATTTGATGTTCAAGTTCATTTATTGACTGTTGTAGCTCAGCATTTTCATCTTCTTTGATCTTAAGCAATCTGGCATAATTATTTCTTTCATCTCTGAGCTGTTCCGATAAGTCTGTCTGTCTATTTGATTTTGACATCAGATTTGCATGTTCTTTCATCAATCTTTCGTTCTCTTCAGCAGCCACAAGCTCTGAATCTTTCATTGCATTGATGGATGCCTGCAATTTGAAGGTCGATGTCCGAGTTTTATCAATTTCTTGGAAAATTTGGATGATTTTGTCTTTATCTGATTGCATTGATCCCTTCATTGTAGCAGTTTCACTCTTAAGTGTCTGTGTTGCGTTCTTTATCTCTTGAATTGCATGTTTTTCTTCATATTGTAATTGATTTACTTCTGCAAGTGAAGCCTGAGCCCCGCTGAGTTGTCTATTCATCACTATCTTCTCATTCTGTTCGGAAGAAACCTTTAAAGCTGCTTCTACGATCTTTGGTCGCAATTCTTTGATTTGATTTCGGACTTTTGCTTTTTCTTCTGCAATTTGGTCGGCCTTTTTCATCTCATCTTCCAATGCTGTGACCAATTCACTGTTTTTATCATTGGATTCCTTTAATGCTGTTTTTGATTCTTCAATTTCGTTGTCAATATCAGTAATTTGCTCTTTTATGGCTTGTATACTCGTATTCTTATGGGATTGGAATCTTAATACCTCATTGAGATGCTCTTTTCGTCGAGATAATCTGTCTTTTCTTGCTTTCACTTCGTTTCTTACTGTATTGAAGGAATTAGTAACATCTGTCTTCGTATTCTTTAATACATTGATTTTTTCTGTAAGTTCGTTCTTTGTTTTCTTTGCATTTTCAATTTTTGTTGAAACATCGGTTACAATTGGCTTTAATTCGATAATTGCGTTGCTTGTTTCTTCGTTTTCGGCTGTAAGAGTCTGAAGACGTTTGTCTACATGAGAAAGAGTCTTTGTATCTTTATTTAAAGTATTTTCAAGTGTTGCTTGGGCTTCTGTAACGCTTTTCATGCCAATATTTTCGGCATCAATCGATTCTTGGATTTTTGTAAGCTCATCATGATCTTTTTGCTTTTCATTTCGAAGATTTTTGACATCTTGTGAAATTTCAAAAATTGAGTTTTGCGTACCGAAGTTAAATGCTTGTCCACTTTGTACTTGTTGAGTTAATTGGGCTAATTGCTCTCTAAGTGTTTTTAAAATCTCTTTTGAGCGAATCTCTGATTTGTGAATAGATTGGACCATTGCTGTGGCATCATCAAAGTCTTGTTTGAGTTTTGTGAGGGATTCACTGTCAGAATATGTTGATTTCATGATTAAATTGATTTTTGTCGCATTGAACACAATTTGGGCATTCATTTCTTGAACCATTGTGAGAAGTTTGATGTTTTTATCATAATCATCTTTAAAAAAATCAAACATCTTTTGAATTCCGTATTGATATTTTTGATAACTTTTTTCTTTGGTAAATACTTCTGCCATTGAATTGAATGCAGCCTTCGCCTCTTCGAGGACCCCGCCTTCAGTTTCAAATGAAATCAGGGTCTTTCCTTTCATTTGGCAAAAGTTTTCTTAGAACGATAATTTTGCTCGTTTTTTTTTCAGCGATGTAAGGAAGAATTTTTGAAAAATGGAATTGAAAAAATAGATAGGTATCATTAGTCTAATTATTTTATGAAAAACTAATGAAATGTTCATGAATATGAACTTAATATTGTTGAGAAATTTTAGTTAAAACCATACCAACATCTAACCATTGATGATGACACACCATTTACCAAGATTAAAATTCTCAATATGAATATCTAATTAAATTTCTCATTCATAAACATATAATTCAACCAAAGCATCTTAATTTATAAATAAGGTTTGACAATCTAAAGCAGAACGCTGTTTTTTTCAATCTTTATGCATAGAAAAATCTTTTGGAATTGTTTTGCATTCACTTATTTGAATAAAATAAGCCTATCTTTTCAAACAAGATTATGCTAAACTAATAACTCTATCATCAATATAATCTGTCATAATTTACTCTTTGGCCCCAAAAAATTTTTTTCATAAAATTGAAGTTCCTTCATTTAGCATTGGATAAGCTAAAAGAGATCTTAATTTAGACTGAACAAGATTTACAAACTCCTATCCAATATCAGAATAACAGTTAGAACCCAACCTACAGCAGATATTAATTAATTTTTAAATAATTATCATTGCCAATTACAAATATTATTTACTTCTTGCTTACATGCTAACTTCATAGCAAGTACATAACCAAGAAATATTAAACAAATCAAAAAAGAATTTAAAAAGTTCAGATTTGACAACAATTATGTTACAGTTGCTATTTTACTACCACATGGGATCAAAAATAACTATTGTTTTGCAAAATGAAAATTTAAATTTATCGAAATATCACGATTCATTAGCATATTTTACTATCTCTGTTGTAAACAGAAATTCATCAAAAGTGACACCTCAGAAAAGCTAAAATATTGAATTTTTGGAACTTTTGATAGAGCACGTTTTTAAATATTAATTAAAGTAAATGTATATTTTGTAAAGATTCTTTTTAATAAAAAATAAAATTTTGAAGAAGAACACAAAATCTTCTGAAAAATAATATCACATAAACTCATATTATTTTCTAATATATAACTATTGTAATAAACAGAAATTCATCAAAAGTGACAGCTCTCAATTTTTTGACATTTGTAAATTCTAAATTGAATGAGAAAAATGAAATAATACTAAGCATAATACAATATTCTAGATTTAATTATAATTAGGAAAAAGTTAGTTTTGAGAGCACTTTTCATAGGCATATAGAATGAAATCTTCTGAAAAATAATATCACATAAACTCATATTATTTTCTAATATATAACTATTTTATATAAAAATCAAATTCAATGATCTTAAAAGCGAATGATAAACCTCAAAATTTACGAATATAATGAGTGGGAATATAATGCTTATCTATCATAAAACCATATGAAATATCAATTTTTGCTTTACGCCTAATTTTTGACGACAATTAGCAAAAAATGTTAAATGTTAACACTCAGTCCATTTGAATATGAAAAATAAAATTGACTTTGATTAAATGTTTTTATTTATCATGCAATTCTTCTTGCGACCAAAGATTTGAATAAAAGTTCAAAAAATAAGATAGCTTAAAAAATAATATACGGTAGTGTTTACTAATAGATGAATAGTATATAAATTCTATTAAAATGGATTTGATCCAAAAAAATATATAAAATTTGATCATAAATAAAATCGTTTTAAATTACTTCTTCATTTAAATTATAACAATTATTTTTGGTTTTATATTTTTTTGGATCAAATCCATTTTAATAGAATTTATATACTATTCATCTATTAGTAAACACTACCGTAGCTATCTTATTTTTTAAGCTATCTTATTTTTTGAACTTTATTCAAATCTTTGGTCGCAAGAAGAATTGCATGATAAATAAAAACATTTAATCAAAGTCAATTTTATTTTTCATATTCAAATGGACTGAGTGTTAACATTTAACATTTTTTGCTAATTGTCGTCAAAAATTAGGCGTAAAGCAAAAATTGATATTTCATATGGTTTTATGATAGATAAGCATTATATTCCCACTCATTATATTCGTAAATTTTGAGGTTTATCCTTCGCTTTTAAGATCATTGAATTTGATTTTTATATAAAATAGTTATCTATTAGAAAATAATATGAGTTTATGTGATATTATTTTTCAGAAGATTTTGTGTTCTTCTTCAAAATTTTATTTTTTTATTAAAAAGAATCTTTACAAAATATACATTTACTTTAATTAATATTTAAAAACGTGCTCTATCAAAAGTTCCAAAAATTCAATATTTTAGCTTTTCTGAGGTGTCACTTTTGATGAATTTCTGTTTACAACACTATTTTATATAAAAATCAAATTCAATGATCTTAAAAGCGAAGGATAAACCTCAAAATTTACGAATATAATGAGTGGGAATATAATGCTTATCTATCATAAAACCATATGAAATATCAATTTTTGCTTTACGCCTAATTTTTGACGACAATTAGCAAAAAATGTTAAATGTTAACACTCAGTCCATTTGAATATGAAAAATAAAATTGACTTTGATTAAATGTTTTTATTTATCATGCAATTCTTCTTGCGACCAAAGATTTGAATAAAAGTTCAAAAAATAAGATAGCTTAAAAAATAATATACGGTAGTGTTTACTAATAGATGAATAGTATATAAATTCTATTAAAATGGATTTGATCCAAAAAAATATAAAACCAAAAATAATTGTTATAATTTAAATGAAGAAGTAATTTAAAACGATTTTGAGAAAGGGACAAACTATCCAGTGTCACTTTTCAAAGGAATAAAAAAAATAATAAAGATGAAATAATAACATGAAATCTTATATAAATATAATTTTATCTAAATAGATAAATGAATTAAGCAGTTTACAGTTATATATATTTAATGAGAGACAATATCTAGTTCTATGGTAGAAATGACTCTTAGACTCAAATAAGTAACACAGATAGAAAGTACTCAGTATAACAATTATATATGTACACTCAAAGTTAGTCGCTGCTAAAATCTTAACCTTGCATTTCGGGAAAATCTGACAAATGGCTCTTAGACTCAAATAAGTAACACAGATAGAAATACTCAGTATAACAATTATATATGTACACTCAAAGTTAGTCGCTGCTAAAATCTTAACCTTGCATTTCGGGAAAATCTGACAAATGGCTCTTAGACTCAAATAAGTAACACAGATAGAAATACTCAGTATAAAATTATATATGTACACTCAAAGTTAGTCGCTGCTAAAATCTTAACCTTGCATTTCGGGAAAATCTGACAAATGGCTCTTAGACTTGTTTTGATAATTAATTCTTCAATTATATTATAATTTATACAAATTTCCTCAAACTATCTGTATGTCATTCAATTCCCGGCCACTACATTCAATGATGGACCATTTCCTTCAAATTTTGAATACCTTATTCAATTTGTTGTTATGGAGCCCGTGATATTCAACACTATGGAGCTCCTCCAGTTTGGTATCCAAGAAGAGATAAAAGCTAGCATGGGCTACTCTCAAAAATGCAGGAAAGAATACTCCACGATCGAATACAAATGTAAGTATCCACAATGTCAAGCTAAATTCAAAGTCCGGATAATAGATCAAGATAAATATGAACTACTAATCCACTCTGACTCTCATGATCATTCTGCACCTCCGAAATCAACAAAAACAATATCCTCATTATTTGTCAGAAATTATCTTAAACATTACTTTGAAAACAATATGAATCATGCTACAGCTCAATTTAAGTGTTTCCAAGACTTAAATATTTCATATACAGACGAAGAGTTACTTTCAATATTTGCACAAGGTCCAGATGCATTACGTAAATTTGCTCAAGAGCTGAAATTGTTTCCAAACGCTTTAGTTCGGATGAAAAAGTTTCTTTAGCTATCTTTGTCGAATCTGTTCAAGAAAGTTGTCCAGAAGATTTAATTGAATTTATCTCTGAGCCGGGAAAACTAGTTTTTATATGCACCTTTCGAAGCGAAGGCCCTTGGTCACCAAATTTCTACGTTTCACATCGATTCAACGTATAAACTTCTAAGGGCTAACATTCCATCTATATGCACTCACAGGAAAAACAGAACATACTATTGTTTTCCTTTTTTGTATTTCTTTATTTCTCCTGACACAAGCGAAAATATTCAATATTGTGTTTGTCGTTATTTTCAATATATTAATAGAGAACCCGAGATGATAAGTATGGACTGCGCCCACAAATAGCCGAGGCAATTGAGCGAGGTATTCCAAACTGTCATATTCTTTGGTGTGGCGTGCATGTCCTTCGCGCCATATTAAGAAAGCGGATAAGTTTAAATCACGAGACAATTTTGAAGAATTTTATAATCTAATGAAATTATTAGTATTCGATACTAAAGAAGAATCTCCCGAGGAAGAACAGAACCAAGAAGAAGAAAATCCTAGAGAGGAACCAGCTCAATCTCACTTACTTCAAGCAGAAGAAATTGAAGAAGAGGAACAATATGAAGAAGAATTCATCGAAAATGAATTTCCACCTTCTCAAATCTTTTTACACGAGAATCTTCTGATGATCCAAACGATTCTGAATTTATTCCAGAAGAAGAAACGTTTGAAACAAGTGAAGAAGTTCCAGAGCACCTCACTCAAGAAGAAGCTGCAGACCTAGATGCAGTTTATGATCGAATTCTTGAAATTCTTTCCACTGAACCGAAAGCCCAAAAGTACTTCGATAGGCAATGGAGGCATCATTTAGATCGTTGGAATAAGCGCTATCGCAACGGAGGTGACGCGACTAATAACGTCAGTGAGTCACATTTCAAAGTTCTCAAGCATTCTTATTTCCCAGAGAGAAGGAATATTCGATTAGACGATTTTGTTGTTGAATTATACACAACGTTGTTCCAGCATTATTGATTAAATTTAAAGTTCAATTAATCAATAGTGATAAAGTTGTTCGTATATTACGAAAAGCTA